TTTTTTGCTGATTATTCACTGGCTGAAGCACGAACATTCAAGCCAACCCAGGACAATAAACAGCTTTGTTCATTGATTATCTGCATCACTTGCTTTGTGATTTTGTTGCTTCTTAAAAAAGCTATTTGCATGTTTATGCATAATGCTTGAGGGTTCACTTACTTTTGCACTAAACTGTATAAATTATTGGGGTTTGCTTCAGAGAAATAGCCGCTATTACACTTTAAAAAAAAATGACGAAATCATTTCTTGAAAATGGGCAATTATTCCAAGTTCCTTTTCCTCAATTTCGAATTTATCCCTCATGCGCTCACAGACCCTTTTAATGACCCAAAAATGGTTCAATGTGCCCCCCTCCATGATCTACAACAGCCTCACGTTACTCGCCTCATGATCGCATGATCTCTCATCAACCAATCCGTATCATGCAGGGGCGCGTGGGAAAAGGGGGTGCGCGGGAGAAACAGGCGACAGCAGCAGCACGACATTGGAAAGAATTGAGGAAATTTTTTCGTCGCTTCTTTTTAAACTGTAATAGTGGCTATTTCTCTCCCGCAAACACCTTAAAATTATACATCATTCGAAAGAAAATTAAACAACCTTAATTGTGCTTTTTTTTTAAATTGATATTGGTCCAACGGGGCCCAAGTTATGAAGCTTCAAATTAAGGACTTTTTGGCCCACCCTGTATACTTGCTTCGGCCAAACGTAGACACGGAAAACTGAAAGTTGGCATGGACGTGCCTACTTAGATACGCAGTTCAGGAAAAGTATTACGTTTCAGATGCATGCCCTGGGGGAATATTTTTTTGGGGGGTGACGTTTTAAGTAATTTTTTTCATCCCACTATATTGAACATACCTGCATATGGGGCGTTCAAATGAAAAGTGGACAAGTCGGAAATAAAGCATAAAATATGTATTTATCTAAACAAATTCGCAATACCTATTGAGACATATGTCCCAACATGAAGTTAGCAACATGATATCCCGTTCGAATAACGACTTTGGCTGTCGCATGAGGAAGTCTGTGATCATGCGCTGCACCTTTTCGTCCGACTTGAACTGCCTTTCTTTCATGGCTTTCGTTAGAGGTTAGAGAATGTGAAAATAACATGAGGAGAGGTGAATACTGTAGGGAGGGTGTTCTAGGCACTCCCAACCATACCTACTCAACGTTGTTGCCGTTACTTGGGCAGTATGGGGGGTGGGCGTTGCAATTATTTGAAAACTTATTTGAAAAAATTATTTGAAAATAACCAAAAAAGTATGCCCTGGGGACATACTTTTGTTTAGTTACTTTTTCAAATAATTTTCCTTTGTCCTACCGAATTGGGAAAAAATAGAAAGGTGAAACCTGGCACAATAATAACTGACGTGATACCGAGCTCAGAAAAAAATCCCAGTTTTGAGGTGCATACCTTCAGGCACTGCGTTGGTTGTTGGTTGCTCTGGCTTTTCCGAATATATTTTTGCACTAGGAAAAAGAGCAAACGGACATGGCTGAAACTTAGTATGTATCTGGTTCTTCGAGTACTGATTTCAGTATTGATAGTATTGATTCGAGTATTGATTTTTAGGTCAAGCCCCTGAGGGAACATCTTTTAGAAAAGGCGCATTTTCCCGAATCATTTTTGATCCATTAAAAGAGGGAACTAAAGAATTTTGAAAAGTGGTTCAGAAGCACCTGTTCGATTGGTGAGTGCAGATATCACTTTTCAAATATATAGCTCATAGCAGAATATGAAGAGGTTTGAAGTTAGACGCACAAGAAACAATCGGCTAATTATTTCAATAAAAATTTCGGTTCGAACCGAATTTCTAAAGGGAGATTCTTTTAATAGGTTTTTGCCACCTTGAAAATAAATTAATGACCGATTCGCTAAATTGGACTATGGAGTGCTGTAGGCGCGACCATAGTGAGTTTGACCGATGGGCAAACAAACTCGCAATTTTTACTGTATTTGTCGAAATTCGACGTTTATAATGAATTAATCATTCTCTGTGATCGTTCAGCGCTGAAGGCATGACCATTTCGAGAAGTAGTGTGCTTCCTAACGTCAGGCTACAATCGAAAGTGATGTAAAACTGTGCCACATGAGGAAATCAAAAAGAGGACTTTGATGTTGAAGATTCAAGGCGACGTATTAATAATCGAGGCTGTAATATCTTTCTTGAGATGAATATGTTTTCGCAGGGTATCATTGCAATGCTCTAAGGAAAATCGTCAGTGAAATGATTGTGGTAAATGGACACAACAGCGCTCAATCGCTGAGTATATACAGTAAACTTGTTTAAAGTACCCTAAAATTGAACTTCTACCTGAAGTTGAAGGATTTGGAGTTTCAATAAATGCATCTATTTTCTTCGGTGATGGAACATAATCCTTCTCAAAAACACCTCCTTGAACACATTGACAGAAGTAGTGACATTTTGAGCAATGATTCACTGAATTTCATTACGCATACACTACTGCTGGCAAATAAGGGGAACACCTAGAACAAATTATGCTATGCTACAACCACCTTCATTCATAATTTGCAACTTCAGCCATTCAACTTTTTCACTTGAAATAGGGTAACCGATCCATTATTGTGTCAACATATCAAATTTCACATTTCTTCCAAACGCAATCGAATTATACATTCCCCGATGCTCTTGGTGCAATAAATTCAATAAACATTCATTCAATATCAATGAAAAAATGTCTAGCTTCACGTTATGAATAACGGGAGACGCGAGGAAATGAGAAGCACTGGCAATGATGTACAAACAGGTAATGCGACGACACAAGCAAGCCTTTCTTCCTGTGTCATATGGCTCTGGTCTTTCACCTGGCAAGTTGTCTTTGGGAGAAAATAACCGCGTCCCGTGCTGAAACATGCTCTAATTCATGGGTTTAATGGAGTTGCATTCGAAAGATTTTACTACAATATGAATCAGTATGTTTCCCATTGAAATTATGCGACAATATATGGAACCATTTAGTATGGTGGCATTTCATGTACTGTCAATTAAGATGTTCAAGGAAAGCAACATTTATTGATGTCAACCTCGAAGCTTCTGAGCGCGACTTTAAATTATTTATTTCGTAGGGAACGCTCAAGTTGAAAATAGCTTCGCTTTTGAGCAGCATGATTCTTTCAATAAATAACGGGGTATATTCTTTGGAAAGAAGTAATGACCTTTGGTTTTTCTTTGAGGATTATGGAGGGGATCCATAGATTAAGGGAGATAGGAAATGACAAGTTAACACTTCTCTAATCAGTTCTTAATGGAATATGGATTTGATTTCCTGTCTTAGTTCACCTCCATTGAGGGCGCACGAACCGCTTCTTCAGGAAAAGCGCTGTGGGAGAAGCGTTTGAAACATCACTTCCTTGTTTGGACATTTTATTTCATTGTTCGTCGAGGCTTTCCATGAGATATGAGCGTCGCCATTCATTTTCAAGTGCAACCTGGCTTTCCCTGGGTGCATCCCCCGGCAAGAGTTTAGAGATGATTTCAAGGAGTTTCTTTTCTCCGGCTTTGTCGTCTTCTTTGCTGGCCTCCATTTCAAAAATAATGAGGTAGTACGCGCATCTCGATGCTCCTAGGTAGAATTCGTTTCTTCTTCTCGCTTTCCCGTTGACGATCAAGAAGACAATGGCTGCCTCTCTTCCTTTGAAGGATCCAGCAAGTTCAACAGCGACCGAGCCAGTGTAAGATTTCCCTGCTTCATCTTGCATTTCCCTCCGTAATCGTTCCCCGTGTACATAGAAATCTCCATGATCTGCGAAAAGAACGACGATGTCCCCAACATATGTCCCACGCCCAAATTCATCTCTTAGGATGCATTGAATCTTCTTGGAGAGACAGGAACTGGTGGCGCGAAATTTTTCTACCTTGGGGCCCTGTATATCGTGCCCCAATCGGATTTCTTCTCTGTTATACCATGGGTCGCCGATGCCAGAATTTATTAAGTCGCAATCTCTCATTAATGAGAAATTTCCTGTAGCCCAAGCACGAAAGACAGATCCTGGGTTCCGATAGACAGTGAGTAACGAATGAGCACCTTCTACTTCCTTTTTCAGGGAATCCGGAGTGTTTGTTAAGTAAAGTGGGTCATATGCCTGCCAGAAGTATCCTCCGCCTCCGTTACGAAGGGAATGGAGTGAGGTCCACCAGAGATCATTGTAATATAGGCACAAGTCTTCCGCTTCGTCTACGAAGATGTGGTCGAATTGGGGCTTCTGGGTCTTGAAAATCACATCCATGTCCTTTAGTATGGAATGCTGCATCGGTGCACGCAGATCCATCAAGAGGGAACAACATTCAGATAATCTGTTACAGATTCCAACCATTGATTTACCAACAGATCCGTCAAACGAGAGCTGGAAAATGTTGACCTCGTTTAATGCCATGATTTCGATGCTTGATTTCAAATGTTTCAATGCTCCGGGTGTTGGTGTAAAAGACTGGAAGAGTCGTCTAATGAGTTCCACTTTCAGCAGCCATCTACTCATATTTTCTAGTCTGAGCGAGACTACAGATCTTACAAGTAACTCAAAGAATAGGAATATTTCCCAGCTGGAATATATTATTTTCGAGTGGATATTCGAGTACGTGAATTCATCATTATATTCTTCCCCGTCAACACATGACGCTGTTTCATGGTTTACCTTAAGCCCCTTCAAGTCACGAACCGATGATGTCATCAGACTAGGGTCCAAGCAACAGATGATAAGATTTTCATGTAGAATCTGTCTTACCCTTCGCTTCTTGTTTTTTACATCTGTCTTGCCGATCCACTTGGAAAGAACATCCATGGCGGATTTTAGGAGGACATCGGGTAGGATATCACGCAAGCGTGAGGCCAAAAGGGGAGTGCCACAGATGAAAAGGATCTTCTCGTCCTTCTCTGGATCAGGTCCTTGGGAGAACCAAGACATGACGATATGTCGTATTTTTTCCTGGAGTAGCCATGTTTTGCCTGTCCCAGCCACACCCTTGAAGACCCCATATTTTGGCCCATTCACCAACACTTCCAGTTTGTCTTCAGCGATGGAATTCAGCTTCTGGGTTGTCATTCTTGCTGCGTAGGCCGTGTTGGAATACACTGGAGCAATGTATCTAAGGAATGCATATATTCATGTATAGCCATGAAATTAATGTGTGCAATTCAATGTCAGAATTTCTGCATATCTGTCAATCAAAGAAAATATGCATTACTACTCCAGCCAATCCCCACTCAATTGTATCTAAGGAATGCATATATTCATGTATAGCCATGAAATTAATGTGTGCAATTCAATGTCAGAATTTCTGCATATCTGTCAATCAAAGAAAATATGCATTACTACTCCAGCCAATCCCCACTCAATCAATACCCACTACCTCAATCATTAAGATCATCGTGCTGTCTGTAGGATAACGCATACATAGACATTTTCTAAATATTATATGGCAATATGGGGTGCGATACAAATTTGAAGTCCTATTTTTGAGTAAGTCTGAAACGTATACCACAATGAAAATAAATATGATCAACATACGTGATACGCAAATCTTACAGCGGGTATTTAGCGCCGTATGAGCACGTATGACTGTTGATATCCTCAAGTGTTGTAAACGAGACTTTACCACTATGACTACCTATGTGGAGAAGTCTGATATGTGATGAGTAGGGAAATATATGATCGACTAGGAAATGTCTGGATGCATGTTGGTACTTATGAAAAAGGCTTGAATCTCTTTCACGCATTTGCTTTTTCCCTGCGTAATCGAAAGTGTGATTAGGGGTCAAAAGGGGTGGCCAGGAGGTAGGGCTTTTCATTTTAGGGATTCAGTGCTGACCCCATCGATAGTGAATGCCAATAAAACCCACTGCATTGGACATTTGGAAGACCTATTTTTTTATCGATAAAATTCTTGTTGATTTCATCAGGAGTCAGCTAACCGCAAAACCAGTGACGCGCAAAAAATATATGCACAATTCAGGAAGAGATGACTAGAAGGGCCAAGATTACTACTTCTCTATTTCATAAATGATGGGATCCATTGGGCAAAAAGTTCAAGGGTCTTAACAATGTTCGAGGCTTGTGATACAGTAGTCTTCAAACCAATCCCATAACGGCCGGCAAAAGTGGTCTCAAAAAATAAAATGGAATAGGTCAATAAATTTCTGAAAAGGACTGTAGACAGTGCCGGATGTAGCCAATAAATTACTCATGAGCAATGCAGCACACTTTTATGTGAACGGTGACATGAAACAAAATGGTCTGTACTGGGCAAATGAAAATCCGCACCAACTTCACTAGCGGCCATTACATTCTCCCAAAGTTACTGTTTGATGTGCTGCGTCGTCGTGTTCTGGGACCATACTACTTCGAGAATGAAGACGGTGGAACAGTAACTGTGACTGCAGAAATGTACAGAAACATGACCGAATATTTGCGTCCTCAACTGCAACAACTGGACAACATTGACGACTTCTGGTTCCAGCAAGATGGATCTTCCAAATATGCTAAATGTGAATCTGTATTTCTCTTTCTTGTGACATTGCACAATAAATTTCAATTCACAAACAAAATCTTTCAGTTGTTTCTGACGGACCCTGTACATATTTCTTCACAATGGCTTCTAAGCCGAAAATTCAGACGAAATTCCTTAGCCTAAAATGATGCTGACTTCCATATATCTTAGTAGAAAACTTGATGTTGAATCAATCAAGTTAAGTCAAGGCTTCCGAAGTCAAGGCGAATTTTGGATAAGGCAAGGAGCAAAAAATGTGACTAATCGAAGCAGGCGCCACCTTCAATCTAGGCACCACCAATGGTCACAGCACTCAGGGGATAAGACGTGGCCTACAAAGGCAAGGTAGGCTGGATAGCATGAAGATAGTGTCAAAATTCGGTGGTAGAGTGTAGTTCTGAGCAAATTACAATGAAAATATTTACGTTTCAATCCCTGACGGGATCCATTTTCAAACCAATTTGAGAAAGCACAAAAAATGGTCGCACCTAGAACCAATGGGTGATTCCAAAGGTTCTGCAAGAGCGACAAAGTTTCATATGGTTGTACATCTGCGTAAGAACCAATGCATATGGTTCTATTAATACAATACCTGGAACTGTTTCAAGGGTCTAGAACCGTCAAAGTGTTCCAGACTGAACCATTACTTTTTAGGTTGTACGAGGTGCGTTCAAGTTCTAAGGTCTCCTAATTTTTTTCTGACAAACTACTTACACCAGAAAGTTGAAACTTCTGTCACTTCTCAACATAATCTCCCTTAGTTGTATGCACTATGCGTTTAGAATGTCGCCCATAAATCGCGGCATACTCGTGCATACTGACAACTATAGGAGTTCACAACATTTGCTCTGAAATGGTGATACTGATGGATACACCTCTTCAGACGTATGTGATGAGTAGGGAAATATATGATCGACTAGGAAATGTCTGGATGCATGTTGGTACTTATGAAAAAGGCTTGAATCTCTTCCACGCATTCGCTTTTTCCCTGCGTAATCGAAAGTGTGATTAGGGGTCAAAAGCGGTGGCCAGGAAGTAGGGCTTTTCATTTTAGGGATTCAGTGCTGACCCGATCGATAGTGAATGCCAATAAAACCCATATTTTTATCGATACAATTCTTGTTGATTTCATCAGGAGTCAGCTAACCGCAAAACCAGTGACGCGCAAAAAGGATATGCACAATTCAGGAAGAGAAGACTAGAAGGGCCAAGATTGCTACTTCTCTACTTCATAAATGATTGGATCCATTGGGCAAAAAGTTCAAGGCTTGTGTTCGAGGCTTGTGACACAGTAGTCTTCAAACCAATCCCATAACGGCCGGCAAAAGTGGTCTCAAAAAATAAAATCGAATAGGTCAATAAATTTCTGAAAAGGACTGGACTGTAGACAGTGCCGAATGTAGTCAATAAATTACTCATGAGTAATGCAGCACACTTTTATGTGAACGGTGACATGAAGAAACAAAATGGTCTGTACTGGGCAAATGAAAATCCGCACCAACTTCACTAGCGGCCATTACATTCTCCCAAAGTTACTGTTTGATGTGCTGCGTCGTCGTGTTCTGGGACCGTTCTACTTCGAGAATGAAGACGGTGGAACCGTAACTGTGACTGCAGAAAGGTACAGAAACATGACCGAATATTTGCATCCTCAACTGCAACATCTGGACAACATTGACGACATCTGGTTCCATCAAGATGAATCTCCCAAATATGGTAAATGTGAATCTGTATTTCTCTTTCTTGTGACATTGCACAATAAATTTCAATTCACAAACAAAATCTGTTTTTTTTTTTTCTGACGGACCCTGTACATATTTCTTGGATTCTAAGCCGAAAATTCAGACGAAAATTCCTTAGCCTAAAAGGATGCTGACTTCCATATACCTTAGTAGAAAACTTGATGTTGAATCAATCAAGTTAAAGGGGGGGGGGCTTCCGAAGTCAAAGCGAATTTTAGATAAGGCAAGGAGCAAAAAATGTGACTAATCGAAACAGGCGCCACCTTCAATCTAGGCACCACCAATGGTCACAGCACTCAGGTGATTAGACGTGGCCTACAAAGGCAAGGTAGGCTGGGTAGCATGAAGATAGTGTCAAAATTCGGTGTTAGAGTGTAGTTCTGAGCAAATTACAATGAAAATATTTACGTTTCAATCCCTGACGGGATCCATTTTCAAACCAATTTGAGAAAGCACAAAAAATGGTCGCACCTAGAACCAATGCATATGGTTCTATTAATACAATACCTGGAACTGTTTCAAGGGTCTAGAACCGTCAAAGTGTTCCAGACTGAACCATTACTTTTTAGGTTGTAGTATGGGTGACTGGGATTAGTGTATCCATTGTGTTGTAAAATAAATTTTTACTATGTTTAGTATTATTCAATAAAAACATCCCGGTCAGATGTGGTGTCTGCTTCCCTTGTCACACTATGTTACACACAAGTTCTATGTTAAGTACGTGAGGAAAAATGGTATAGTTTGCAGATTTCGACTTTGAAGGATGTCATGCATGCACTAAACATTTTTTTTTCCAAGCCTCGTCATTTATGCGGAACTTAATGCAAATTAGTGCATGGATTTGCGTGATTTTTTGTTTGTGACTACCGGTAGATTGCTTAACGACTGAACCCTAATGAAAACAGCATTCATGCATACTGCTGTCCATTCATTCCCAAATTGTAAATGTCAGTGTAGGACAGGGAACCAAGCTAGAGGCACGTAAATCATGTGATACCCGTGAGTTGCATTAATCCCTCTGAATTCGGAAGGCAGTGCTACACTGCGGCATTTTTAACCATAATATAGGCCTTCCGTAACCATATACTCTATCAAGAAAAAGGTACTTCTTATGTGGTACATGAACTATGAAGATCATCCTTTTGTGCACCACCCTGTATATATGCTGAAATGTCCTTACATTGCCAGAAGCTGAAGGTACGTCTTGGAATCCATTGCAAAATTTTGCAAATTAGACTGTAGGACGTGATTTTGCCACCATCGTTCGATGGTATGAACATAGGCATCTTGTTTCTTTGACCAAGCTGATTTAGAAGCAGAAGGAGCTTTCTTTCGGCTTTCACACCAGGAGTCTTGGCTGTTTTCACCCATTCATCCTTTTCTTGAACTTGTGGGATAAAGTGAGTGGTTCGTCCAGTTTCCCAATCGGAATATTTCCACTTGATGTATTCCTGGGCTTGACAAATCCATGGTAAGTCTGTGGCTACCTTGCTTCTGAAAATCGTGCTTCCAACTAAAATGGAAACATACTCATGGCCAAAAAAGTACGTCCAAGAAGTTGAGCGATCTCGATGAAGATGATCTCGATCTTCGTGCTAGCATGCTAATATAGTGCATATAATACAGTTTCAAGTGTGTGCAATTAATAATAATGGCGAAAACTTGAGAATTAATAAAATTTCAATTACGGATATGGAGCCTTACTAATCTGCCGAAACGGTCAACGATAATGTTTTTACTAATGAAACGTGGCAGGAAAACATAAGAAACTCCCTATATTTCGGTGGAATGGGGGAAGAAAGCGGTGCCATTGAAGGCGCCGGGCCTTATCCGGGCAAGGGGGTCTGTTGGACCCCC